AGACCTGACGTGTTTCTTTATTCTGTCTACCAACCGCGGAAAATAGAATCGGTTACGGGTCAACTGCACTGCCTCACGGGACTCTTGAGCATACCTCAACACACGCGGCACTAAACTTTCCAGCACCACCAGGCTTTGTCGGACTGCGATTCATAATTCGCTTCGGCCGGGATCTCCGAAATAAGAGTCCCGTATCGTCAAGAAAAAAATCATTAACCGGCAACATTTTTAAATTTCGGACCTGCCGTGCCTTTGGATAAGGCATCAATGATCTGGCCGTAAACTTTGTCGGCACGCTGGGTAGCATATACCTCGTCCTTATTTAGCGGCTCCAAGGGAGGAACCTGTGAAGCACTATTCACAACCGCTAAATGAAGGGTGAATTCAGCAGTGTCGTCCCACTTCAAAGATTGCGAGAATTCGATTGCCGCGTGTGACAACGTGTTGACGGCGACATTTGCGCGGCCCTGAATATACACAAAGGTCACATCGAATTCGCAAGGATCATTGCCATTAAGCGACGTGAGCGGCATTTGGTCTGTGTGAACCATGATCCTGTACCCCAGTATATCCCTGAAGTACTTACAAGCCCAAACAATCGCTAACATTTCCCTATCGGTGACTGAGTAATTCTACTCTGCACTGGTGAAAACTCTACTAGCGAACCCGATGGGACGCAGATTCCCTTTGTGTACCTGCATTAAAGCAGCCCCTAGCCCAATATTCGATGCGTCTGTATAAAGAATGAAGGGAGGTCAAACCTTGGAAATGCAAGAACGGGAGCGTGCGATAAACAATATTTTAATCTTGAAAATGCGCTGATCTGCTCCTCGCCCCAGCGCCAGGGGACATCTTTCTTGATGAGATGTGTCAGCGGTGCAGCGATCTTCCCATAATCCATAATAAACGGTCTATAAAAACCTCCTAACCCCAGGAATGACTTTACCTATGTTACATCTGAAGGAATGGGGAACATACTGACGGCTTTTACCTTGGCCTCGTTAGGGGAAATACCTGCAGCACTAACCGAATGACCGAGGAAATCTAAACGCGACTGGAAGAACATGCACTTGGCCGGATTAATTGTTAAACCCGCTTCCGACAGTCGCTGAAAAACACTACGCAACCGCGCTTCATGATCCTTGATCGAAGGTCAACAAACCAAAAGGTCGTCTAAATAGACTAGCACCTGATCATTAACTAAACCCTGCAGGGCGAGAGCCATAAGACGACTAAACGTCAGAGGTGAGTTCTTGAGACCCATAGGTGACACAAGGAACTCAAAGTGACCCACATGCGTCCTCTGCCAGGGGGACCTGAAGAAAACCTTTCGCCAGATCAATCGAGGAGAAAACTTTACTCTCTCCACCAATGTCTTGCAAGAGCTGACGAAGGTTAGGGATAGGAAAAGGTGACGGAACAGTCACCTTGTTCAGACGCCGAAAATCATGCTGACGCTTCAGCACCAGCAGCATCGGTGCTGACCACGGGCTAGTCGACGGTTGAATTAGCCCTTGTTGCAGCATACTGCGCACTTTTTCCTTTAGAATCTGACGTCTGCTGTGCAGGATCTTGTATGCCGGAATATACACAGGCTTAGCCCCAGGTTCTAGAGTAATAGTGTTCTACCATATGCATTCTGCCTAACGGACGGTTCTTGGTCTGTAAAATGTCGGGGAATTGATTTAACAGTTTGCCTAAAATCTCCTTACCCACGCTAAATGCGAATGGACCCTGCATAGCCTTTGCTGATGCTGCAGCGAACGGGTCAGCTGAATCGGGGGACGCGGAAGAAACAGCGCCAGTAAAGGCTGACGCAGGCATTTCGAATTCAGCTATCAGGAGATTTGTAACCTCACAGTCTATTAATCTAACACCACTATCAATAGACAAGGGGGCAGGTGTTAAGTTCATCACATGGACCTGTGCACTCCCATCCCGCAAGGTATTCAGAGAGGGAAGAACACATGTCCCCTTTACTCTACAATTCTCCGGGAGGACCAAGCATGTGCCGCATTTACCTGCCAAGGCCGTCACATTAATCAGAACATCATGGAAAGGCGGAATTACTACAGACTCCCGCGCCATTAAGTGCGCCAGACCATCGTTGTCAACCTACATGTGATATTTTAATGAGCAGGATGATGTATGGGATATGGCAGCGAGATGTGTGCGTGAAGTACGTGTAGCATGCTGAGATGAAGTAATTCCATGACGAACAGAACGAGACCTAGAAGGAATCGTAGAAGTCAAGGAATGTGAGGGAGATGGAGGAGAGACGGGGGGGGGGGGGGGCAAGGTAGACGCGGGGAAGAGACAGGGGAGGTAGGTGGAGAGGTCATGCCAGAGACAGGGGGTAGAGATGGAGAGGAAATGTTTCCGGTTTCAGTGACAAGAGAAAGAGGGGAAACTAAATCAGAAGTAGATGGTGAAGGAGAAGGCGAGCGAGAAGTATGAGAAGAATCCGAGGCCTTAGGGGAGAAACCAAGCGAAGTCTGCAGAGCCTTCACGACAATCGACTTCTTAGCACGAGTATTATCAGATGGAGGGGAACTCATCAGAGAAATTGAAAAACAGAAAAGAATATAACAACAGTCCGCCAAAAATTAGTTGTATTAAATATCGTGACTACGTTATCAGATGAAAAGAGAAGAAAAAATACTCGCAGTATTTCCCCGTTCACGCACACAACACGGCCTTCCCGTTTCTCTACGGACCTGAACACTTGTACATATAAAAAAATGACTGGCTCGTAGTACACAAATGGGGGGAACGGAAGAAAGAAATATAGCCCTCGTGTACTCACTCAGTCCTGTAGGATTGCCGACGACGATCTTGAGTGGAGGCAGGAACGTGAGTTCTCCCACCCTGAACACCAGCTATAATGGTCTCTAATTCAATGTACAGAAATCCACTATATTATCTAGAGGTCCAGAGGAAAACTCTATTTGTTAACCAGACACGTAGTAGACGGAGATATGAAAAGGTAGATGTGGCGGATTGGCGTCGGTTTCCTACAGAAGGCAAGAGGGGGAAGGTGTTGCTTGTGTCAGGCCTTGACTCGATCTGTCTGTTTCTGGGGACATCTGGTCTTTCCTTCCTTTGCCGCGCCCTGGGCAGGGCCGGAGTCAGGTCAGGCATCTGCCATGGGCTAGCAGCTGCTCTGGCCTGGTCCTTAATGAATGTCACACTCTCTCTCTCTCTCCTCTCCCTCTCCTCTCCCTCACCTCTCCCTCACTCTCTCTCCTCTCCCTCACTCTCTCTCTTCTCCCTCACTCTCTCTCCTCTCCCTCACTCTCTCTCCTATCCCTCTCTAATTCCCCCCTCTCTCTCTCATTCTCTCTTTCTCTCTCTTTGTCTCTCATTCTCTCTCTTTGTCTCTCATTCTCTCTCTTTGTCTCTAATTCCTTCTCTTTGGCTCCAATTCCTTCTCTTTGTCTCTAATTCTCTCTCTTTGTCTCTGTGTCTTCTCCCTCTCTTTATTTCTCTCTCTATCTCTCCCTCTCTCCTCTCTATCCTTCTCCCCCCCCCCCCCTCTCTCTCTCTCTCTCTCTCTCTCTCTCTCTCTCTCTCTCTCTCTCTCTCTCTCTCTCTCTCTCTCTCTCTCTCTCTCTCTCTCTCTCTCTCTTTCTCTCTCTCTCTCCTTTTTCTCTCTCTCTTCTCCCTCTCTCTCTAATTATCTCTTTCTCTCTCTAATTCTCTCTCTCTCTCTCTCCCCCATCTCTCCCTCACTCTCTTTCCTCTCCC